GAACCGTACAACGACACACGACCAGACTGAAACCTCCCATTGTTAGTACCATAAAATCAGTAAAGATTAGAGGTTATAAATGACTTTATATATAATTAGCAGAAGTAATCTTTGATCCTGACGAAGCACAACTAAAAACTATTACCATGGTAAGAAAGAGTTGTTACATAGAGAGTAGTACTTTTCTGGAATAGTGTTAGTACCCCACGCTTCTCGCATAGTACATGTGATAACGAATTAGTAGAAGAAGTTAGTTTTGATTAATTTCCCACTTTGATCCGTTTTCCTAAAAACGGAGATAGTTATTGGTGCGCGTGGCACAACAAGGAGTGTTCCCTTCGTGAAGATGAGCACGAAAAGTGTATCTTCAGAACTGAGGAGAGATATGGACCCAAGATACAATCACATTCACATGCGTGGCGCCTCACCAGAAAAAATATACGGTAAGAGGGTAAAACGACCTCTGCTCCCCCTCTTACAAACAACCCTTCAAACCATCAATTTCTGCCACTTCAACCCTCGTCCATCAAATCGCACTCACCCTCGTCCCGTTGAGCTTAGGCATCCGACCGTTGACTCTGCCGGTTATTTCAAGTGTGTCAGTAAGTCATAGAATTTCAAAATCTCCTTCACCTAGCGATGCCTTGAATTTAGATGTAATCTTCAGTTTAGAAGGTGAACGCAGTTTAAAATTCTCTACGGTGATTTGGAATTCTCTACACTGAAACAGCGAAATGACCAGATGAAATGCTAGCCTCTCAAGTGTTCTGTTCAGAGAGTATTCGCGCGCGGTACATGTACGGCGGCCGCGACGGCTACGCAGTGAATTCCGCAGTGAATCCAGAGAGGCAAGATGACCGATCGATAACCCCGTGCCCTATGCTCTCGCCCTACTTTGTAGGAAGAGCGCAGGCACTCACGTAATGTGCACTGAAAGTCGACAAGGTAATGCTTTACAGCGCAGCCGCCCGCGTCAAGACCGCGTCGCCGCAACTTGGGCCTCCTGACCGACATTCAGGAGTGGCATTACATCCGGGATCCCCAATATCCATAATACATAGTTGCACAGAGAAAAATAATACCCCTCTATGTGCAACCGCAATGGATTTCTTCAGAAGAGGCAAATTAAAAGGATGAAACTCTATCTATTGCCCTCCCCTCCCTTCACAGTAATAGTCTGCACTGATCGCTTGGCTAATAGGTCAAAATCATAGTCGTAGAATGATCGCAATGAAGTAGGGATGTTGAGATCCTCCAAGATAAATTTGTTTCAGAATGTACCTGATTATAAGCAGACATCTCGCTGCTCATTCTGGCAGCCTTTTCCAAATGATCCTCGTAAGAGCCTTCAACAGGCTTCCCACTTCGTTTCAAAGCATATGACGTCGGTTGAACCGAGTACACCGGGCCATACGGGCGCAGTCGTGCTGACGAAGACCTGGAAACCAACCGGAGCTCTTTTTTGACCGTTATTCGATAATCACAACATGAATAGTATCAACTGGTTCTAAAAGAAGTTTTGAGGCTACCTTCTTCGACAGCAAACGAAAAGCGCAATCGCGATTAGCAGCAGAATCCACACAACAACAATGACGCTTGGGATGATGATGGCCATTTCTGAAGCGAATATCCGATCTGGTTAAAGGACCTTCTAATTGTTATCTGTAAAAAAAGGGAGTTTTGGTCGTAGGGCAACTCACTGCTGGCGGCAGCCTCGCGATCATCTTCTGGCTCCAGCGTTGTGGTCGTTCCGGCTGTCACAATCTGCGGTCGCTTCGGCAACGCTCTCGTCGTCTGAAAATTACTGCATCACTAAGCTGGTTGAAGGGTTCTTCCTACAGCATACTCTAATATGTGCGTTCTAGCTCTAGTTGGTTTTTACTTGTAAGAAATGGGGTCTACGTGTAGCGGGTCCTTAGCCCCATTTCTGGCTTCCTTTCCGTAATAGTATTCAATGATTATCCTCTGCTTGTTCGGACACCACAGCTAGTATCCACCTTTCCCTGCAATTTCCTGTTGAAGTATTTTTGGTTCGAAGCATCAACCGAGACAGAAGGACTGACTGATTACTCAACTATTATTTGCTGACGAATTACGGTAATTCTTTACATTTCCTTTAAGTGTTCCTTTTTCCAAAGTTTCTTTTGCTTGTTTTACAACCGTACGTATGCTTACTATGGGCGCAATGCCACGACGAACATAGGTGTAGAATAGCCCTTTGGCCAAACAAACCTAAAAATTTTGCTTTGGTACTGCTAACTTCTGCCTTGCTACTATCTTTAACTTCTCATTTACTTTTTACATTCGTGATTTTTGTCAGGCATAGCTATTTGTGTCACCACCGTAATAACTTATTCCCATTATTCTTCCAAATAAGTCATTCGGAGACTAGACCGAGATATCAAACAGACGTAGATATATGAAGGGACTGTCGTGCTCTTTTTCATGCCTAATTAGAAAGTTTATCATTCTTACTTCAAAGGTCAACTCAAGCGAAAAGCGAATGCGGCATTGGGGAGATATGCGCTATAATGACGAAAGCAATAGAATTGGATGGGCATGGGAACATTTACCCTGTCTACGTAGTTGCGTCTCAAAAAAATTGCGGCCCCGTCAAAACCTCTCTCGCCGGGTTCGCACCTTCTTCCCCCCTAGCTGGCGGAACCGGAAAATTGCTTTAAACCTCATTCCTTGTCCAGCCGAATTCGTTTCGGAACTGCATATTTATAATGTTATAGGTTAAAAAGCGATAAAAAGCACAGTTAAAAGCAGGACGAGTGCGGAGTAAGGGAAGGTTTTTGAAAAACCATAAATTTAAGAGGCACTTATATTCGCTAGCCTGGGAGAATCGTATACCGGCCCTGAAACAGTCTTCGTGACCACTGTGATCTCGCAATCTCCAGCTTTTGCCTCACTTTAACCTTCAGCCCTGAATTTTTTCCGTAGGGAAAAATATTTTCTTGCTGTTGTTCATTACTTGGGAGCATGTAAGTAACACTATAATGAAATTTGGAAGCTTTTCGACAACAAAGTAAGTAACTAGGGAGCCGTGAGCCACCGTCAAGGCTTAAATTATGGCTTATCCATCTTGCCCCCACCCCTGTCGCCTGCATTCCTCCTGGTTCACAGATTTTTGTGCTAGCAATGTTCGAAGCTGAAACCGCAGCTGTCCTCCACCTCGTCTACGCGCTAGCCGTTCCCGACAGAGAATTCAGAAGAAAGTTTAAGCAGTCACGTAACTGCAGCACTTACCGCTCTTGTTGTCGTGAAGACGAAGATGTGGGCAGCAGTGGTCGACGGCGACGTGGTGGGCCGTTCAGTGGTCGCCTTTGTGGTTGCAGGAGCTTCTGTGGCCTGGAAGGAGTTCTATCATTGTCATACTTGGCTTCGGGCACGTGTTTAGGTTGAAGTTCGGTTCCGGGTGTCCCCGGGTGTCCCCCAAGAGGCCCACCGCGCGGCGAAGGAAGAGACGCAGACGCGGCAAAGGACGAGTCGCAGCGGCGTCAGGTTAAATAGAGTGTACCATACTACGTCTCATATCGCACAGCACGCGCTGCGACTCGTCCTTTGCCGCATCTGCTCTTCCTTCGCCGCGCGATGGGCCTCTTGGGGAACATCCTTCGGTTCCTATAGATGATTCTGTCCCATTGACGTTTTGAGGATGGCATGCTTGAGGCTTCTATTCACACCTATTTCTGAAAATTGAACAAAAATTCAGGAACGAAGAAGTTTCTACCGACCACAATTAGTATCCTCGTCCGCTCCCACCTCACCATACCCAATGAAATCACCGTTTCACCTCTTACGTGAAAAGTACAACAAAAAGGATCCTTGTATTACAGATTTTCTGCGTTTTGACTTTTATCAGTCGCTGTCGTTTTCTATCAGAGAAATCAAAAACAACAAAATTCAGAGGACGCTGCCCCCCCCCCTTTTCTTCTGTCACTACTGAACAGTTTTCCTCTTGCTTTTATCTGAAACATTGAGGACTACTGCGAAATGTTGCAGTTAGCCCGACTATGCCCTTGACTAACCTAAGCGATCTGCAAATTTGAACCCTAGGTTGTTGCAGTCAGCCCGACGGTGCCCTTGACTAAGCGATCGGCAAAGCAACCCTAGGTTAGTTTCAGATCTTGAAAGGGTAATTATTTGGAACGTCACCCAGTAAAAAAGTCCACTAGCAGCCCGAAAAAACAGAGAAACTCATAATATTATAGAATACCTTTTCTGTTGTGATCCGTAGCTCAGTTGTTTCCCGCTGAGGTTCTCCAGAAACATCGCCAGGAACGCTCCCCTTTTGACTGGTGCACGTAAGTACTCCGATGGTGTGAGATACAGTAGTTCTAATTAGTCGCACTCGGTTTGCGGACTGTTTCTAGAGAGCACGGGCCGGAGACAAGCGTTCCTGAGCATCGCCAGGTTTTGGAATGTGGGAAAGTCGTGTCCGTGGGTGTGGAAGAAGTTGGGAAGATTGGAAGTGAAAGTCGTCGAGAAACTTCCGCTTAACATAAATGCTATTTAAATAGTTCTTTAAGGAAAACAAACAGGTGTGTGATTTTACGCTGTAGCAGTGGAAATCTGGCAGCTTGTTTCGACTTGTGTTCGTTGTTGTGTGAGCGTCTCCGGGAAGGCGACGGGTGACAAACGGTGGGAACAAGTGATGCTCGTGTAAGACCATGCTTTGGTCGAGCTCCTCGAAATCGCGTTCACCGAGGGATACGATGGGCCTACAATTTTGCAAGGTGAAAATGAAGAGGTCGTTTTTTCCTAAAAGAAGACCTGGACAGAAAATGGTAGTTTATTTTTTTGTTCATTCATTTATTTATTCATCTATGTATTTACTCATGAGTCCCATTTGATGCGACTTAGAGGCATCAGCGCAATGCTCGACCCTTCTCCGAGGTTCAAATTCGCCCTGCGCTCTACAGCAAGACCATTCTGTGTTAGATTCAAGGATTGGCCGCTCCTTGATTAAAAATTAACCCTCGACAAAATATTCAAAGCTCTTTCCGCACTGACCGATGAGGCGTACTCTCATATCGAGGACGTGGACGGGTGGTTTTCGTCGGTGGAGTGGATGAAAGGCTCGAGAAGGACGGAGCCGACGGTGCCTAGAAAAAATTATATTTATTTGTCACTATTTTGCCTTCTGCTGTTTCTTTTACATGGGGCCACATGTGTGTAAACGATAAGCGGACCAAAGCAAGTACTGAAATAATTCAAAGAGCATAAGATGATTTGAGGCCATGCTCTCTAGAGATACAGCGACGCTGGTAATTATCATCAACAATGTATGTAATGTTATCGTGAAAGTTGACCTACCTGAGTATATCAATGATGAATGACCAATCAGCGGGAGGATGAAGGCAATCTCGGTAGGAGTTAGTGGGTTTGCTGAAGTAGTCCGATAATGCTGATTCTGTTAACCAAGGACAATCTATCGAGCAGAAATTTTCCGGGCGGCGTATGTTGGGGCCCCCTCAGGACAGCTAAATGTAACTCGAAGCCAAGCTATGCCTCCCTTGCAAGAAGAGCGTGAACATTGCGGCCGGTGAAGACCGCACCGACCGAAGTGACGAATCGGCGACTCCAGAAGGATTCCTGTAGTGTTTCATCTGGGCAAGTAGCTGTGTTTAATTAAATGGATAGTGTGGTAGATTACTGTAATTACTGCTACTATATATGTCGAATACAACCAGTGAACAGGTTAATTCATTTCATTGGCAAGAGATACAATTGCGCTATTTTCTCGGCAGGGCCCGGTCGTGGTCACTTGTAATGTATGGTCGCACCTCGACACTCCTTCTGGCTTTTTGGAACAAGGGGAGGTCATGTTCCGTTTGCGCGTACCGGCCGTCCAGTGACAAATTCAGGTCAATCCAGTGTTACCCTAGGGCGGCCACACTTGGCCATTACACTTTGTTTCCCGAAGCACTACTGCTCCATGTGTGTAAGTTGACAGAATTGGGTGGCCCAGTGTTCGTGCAATCCCTTAAGTAAGCATCGAGATAAGGCGATGGTGATTACGTACGGCTTTTTCGTGTTAAATCCGACCCCGCGGGAAATACTATTGAATCTGAGACCACAGCAAACTTTTATAGAACGTACCTCAGGTTGTGCGCTCACGTGGATGTTGTGCTTTCCAGAATGTGGAGTAATGAGTTGCGGTTGGATGATACGAGGAGGTTCTACAGGAATTGCACAGCTGAGCTACCAGCATCGGAACGAGTGCTAGGCACCGGTGAAGGACGGGCCTTCTAAAACGAGAATTTCCGACGTGCGAAGCAAAGAAGTGTCAAAAATCCGCTGTAAGAAGAGAAAAAACGAACGCTGTGTTGGTCTTGGCGGCAGTATTCGCTCTCAGTTGGACGCGTCTTCTTCTGCAGTACGGTGGTTGTTGTCCTTCTAATGGACATGGCTGAATGGTTGGCCCATCTAAAAGCTTACAATACAGTCTCGGGCAGCACTCGAGCAGCGCCTTTCAGCTCTAATAAAGTTTTACCAATTCTGAATAGCCAAATTCCGGGCTGTCCGACGTTGCTGAGCTGTGTGAGCTGTTCGATGCCTTGCGTACCCGAGCCGGGTAGACTGACCGACGACGACGAAATGTCGTTAGTCATGATTGCAGCCTTGAATAAGAATAATTGGCACTCTTTCCCGAAGGAAAAAGGAAATCAACGACTGAACGTTCGCAAGCAACTTCTTTGAAATTGATGGCAACTCACTTCGGCCCCGTCACCCCATTGCATGTCCTTATAGAGCATTTGAGCGAACGTCATTTTCTCTTGTTTGCTGTTCATTCCATTGATCAACAATGTTTGGAAAGTATTTCCTCGCTGAAATGAATTCGATAGGGTGCAAATTGAAAGTTCACATTCGAGAAAGCATATTAATCAAATTTCTCATAGACACGACATCCGCTGACGCAGGCAAGCCCAGTCTTATTTCACGGATCGTGGATTGTCAGACAAAACTTTCTCCTCCAGTCGCGAGAGATTCGTAACCCATGCTCTCTTGCTTTCCGGGCAGTTGTGCAACCCAAATTTCACACCACTGAGAAGTCACCATTCCGCAATTATTCAGATGGTAAGGTTACCCATAGTTTACATCTGAATCAGAGCTTTTCCAGCCTCAGCGTTCACAGCCAGATTTGCGGCTAAGGCCTGATCAAGCTAGCGGTAACATTAAACCATCCAAACAGCTGAACTTGGGTGAAATGTGGGCCCTGGTGTGTAGTTGTAAGCACCATTTGCCCGAAAAGCAATAGAGATCACGGATGTGTGAAACCCAGCGTGGGGCAAAAGGTTTTGCCCATAACTACTGCCAGTGTTTTTATGCATGAAGTCAAGACTCCGAGTGACATAACCCCGGTATGGAATTGGCGCTCGAAAAAAAGGGCTGACCGGCGCGTGGAGCTGATTCACTCTACGTTCACTTGAGTCAGGCGTACTCTTAGACTCTGCCCTTAAGCTTTTGGCTATCCCCACTCCTCCGCCAGCAGATTTTCCTGCAATGACTGGAATCGCACTTACCTGGGCTCTACCGTCGGTGACGTTCATATACGTGACGATCAGAACGCTTCTGGCTTGGAACGTGGGTTCCTCGTAGTTTTCTTGAATGCTACGTGTGACGCGCGTCAAAGTATCCGAGTCTAAACGGAACTGATTTAGTGTGCCGACACTATTTCAACGTCTTTTTTGGGCCCTGAGCCTTGCTCAAACAAAGAAAACAGGTAAGGCAAAAAGCACCGACTCGTCACTTCTCAGCACTGTGTTACATGTCCTCCTCGGCTGGTGTCGATAGGAGCAAAAAACGGTGCCACTCCGGTCAGATGCATTTGTTCCAGATTGTCACCGAACGTTTTTGGCACGTCCGTTATCGAAAGCAAACCAGAAGTTGTCACCTAAAAGTGCAATTTCATTCAAGTTCTTTGAGTGTACCGTAATGAAAAACTAGCCTACCGTAATCTTGTCATACGTTTTTCCAAACAATTTCATCGGTGCTTTGAGTTGCCACAGAACCTGAATTCCAGGAATACTTCCGGACTAACATGGTCCAACAATTCAAAAAAGTTAAAAACTGTAGTATTACTGAACTCCCAAGGACAAAATAGACATTGTGAAACATCGCTACTTACCTTGGATGTTTTACTCTTCGGCAGAGGTTGATGAGAGTCAGATGGGAACAAGAACGAAGCGACGCATTCGGTGACACCATCGCCTGGAATGAAGAGGTGAGGCTACTATTGCTCACAATAATTAGTATAGCCGTTTCACAATACTGGGAACTTTTTATGCGTCATCTTTATTAGTTAAGCGCTCTAACCAGGACGGTCTTTCGGGTCATGCCACGCCTTTCCAGAACGGGTTTCCGCATAATATAGGGACAGGTGCATGAAAAATGAAACTATGCTTGATTTTTCTTAAGTGGCCCTCGGAACGCCAAAAATGAGACGAATTATTGGTCCATGGTCCGATTCCAAGTGGAGACAAAGGTTTGCACTGACGCTTGCATGATGTCGCATAAAAGTTCCAGTGGCTATTACTGGATACCTTTTTGCTATAGGGATCATCAATAAGCCATTTAAGAGCGTCTTTACCAAAAACTGGTGTCAAAAAGGTGAAGCGCTCCACTTTTTTATCCCATTATTGGCATTCAGTGAGCCGCTCAGGATAAATAAAGCATAGTGTGTTCCACGTTCCCCTATACCATGCGAAGTACCGATTTAGAAAGCGGGGTACGGCCTGAAAGACCTTCCTGGTAAGAGGTGTGGAGCGTTTCTCCCGTATGTGTAACCTGCCCGTGTACGTGCTCCACTGCAGGGTGCACGGTGCGTACCGTATGCCTAAGAGAGGCTGCACGCTATTCTATTTCAGGGTAAAGAACGAAAGATTTAACCCATTCGTGACAATGTCAGCCACCGGTGGCTGACAAAGCTCTCACTCGGGACAATGGTATTACTGTGGCTGCAGGGCTTGAAATGGAATTTGGAAAGTTTTCTTCCATGGAAAGAATCTTCATACCCTCGCTCATCTACGCCAGCCCTGGGCAGAGGAAATCTCCCTCCACTCGGATTTTATTGAAGAAAAATCTCCTGACGCTGCTGCTATTGCGCAATCCTGCGCGGTCGCGAATGGGTTAAATTCATTTGTTTTCAGCGGCATAGTTTCCTTACTTGCAGCACTTACTTTTTCACACACATACATCAAAAACGGGCCTTTTGTTGAGAGCGATTTTGGTTGGAAGAGCAATGAGAAGAGAAAGAAAGGAATTCTCGTTCTATTTCCCTGGGGGAGGATAGCCTGCGAGCCAAGAAGGATAGCCGCGGCACGTGGTAGACGCGCTGCTCGCGTGCGATTTCCAGGATGTTTGTTTCCTTTTGGCGACATCCGATGCCCTTTCTGACTAAAACATTCAAATTTGCTAAAGTCCGCTTGGTTGGCGAGTTGGTGAACAATTCTGGAGTGCTCTATTAGCAACCACTTTTCCCTGTTTTTTTTAGTGAAGATTACAACGTTAGACCTTAAAGGTTTCCAGGGGCTTTGTTTGTGGTCACTATAAGGTCTGGAAAGACCCATGCATTTTAAAGACTGAAGCCTTCAGGTATTTCTAGGTTAATTTCCCTGAACTTGAAAAGAATAGTCTTTGGCGATCCCCGCCTTCGCAGATCGAAGTGCAGCGAAGCAAAGGTAGATAGGTACTCGAGTGAGGTGCCGAACGGTAAGGGTGGTTACCTGAGAAGCCCTCTTGACACTGGCAGAAGTACCGTCCAGGTGTGTTCGTACACACGGCGTTCTTATGACAGACTTGCTCTCGACACTCATCAATATCTAAATAACAGCAGTTAGCATGACAAAAAGCACAACCATTACAAAACATTGATGTAGAATTGAAAAAAAAATAAAAAATAAATTTTTATCCTTCCTTGCATACATTTTTTTAACTAAACCCTGAAAACCGTATATGCTATCCTTTTTTCTCTTTCTTTATCAGTTGGCTCGACTGAATATGTCAGCTTGCCGTCTTTATCGTTCAAGGTGCTCCTTCCCTTCTATTCTACTTTTCTATTTGTTCGCCGCCACGGAACACGGTAGCGAAAACAAATAAAATTTAAGCGTAGGTTTTGGAAGTCCAGATAGGGCGCTTACCATGACATGTTTTGTACCCGTCGCCTTTGAACCCGGCCAGACACTGACACCTTTGCAAAGGTTCTCCGCAGCGATCGTAGTCGGTGAATGAGATCGCGTTTGGAGCGCATTGAGCCGAATGGTCTGGCATGACAGTTTTCTTTCTCTGCAATTAGTCTCAGCTTATTCGGTGCTAGAGATTCACATAAAGTCAACTCACTTGTCTGGCAGTTGCCTCCCAACCAGCATTCAGCACATCCTTTAGAACACTCGCCAGTCAGTGGATGGCAAGTTCCTTCACCACAATGACAGCACGACGCACAGTCGGCTCCCCATTCGCCCGACGAACACTCTGAACTCAATATAGTTTTAACCTATTCACGATTATGTCAGCCACCCATGCCTGAAACGACAGTGTTAACAAAAAACGATTCGACAATGTCAGCACCGATGGTGACGGGCTCGCAGAAAAATAATTACAATTTCCTGAAATGTTAGTTTTGATGAAAAAATCTTTCACCTGCATTATTTGCACTAAAAAATTTGATTTGCAACTTATTAAAAAGAAAAATCTCAGACCCAAAATTATATGCATTTTCATATAGTCATCACCATTGAAAAGAGCGCGTGTGAGAGCATGTCAGCCACCGTTGAGCTAACCACTTCGCAGTCTCCTCGCGATCCGCTCTGTCAACGGCGGTGATGGGAAAATGCGCATGTCGCCAACGGGTTAAATATCGCCTTAGCAGGTTTTACGGCGATTTTTTCTCTATTCATCAAAATCTCCACAGCTTGATTTATCGTGAATCTTACGTTGTCCAAAAATTTAGGAACAGGAATTCTCTCCCGATTTGCGCTCTTAGACGAGAATCCACGAAAATATCCCTATTGATGAAAAATAGCGCACAGGTGAAAGACTTCAGTAGAACCACAGTTAGCAACAGAGTAAAAAAAAAGAGCAGGAATCATTTCCGAAAAGGAAAAAAGACGAAAAAAGGCCATACCTTCGTCGCATGTGTCACCCTTGATGCCTTGCTTACACCGGATCACTCGTTTCTCGCCCAGTTCGAACATCCATTCACCAGGGATGCCCGTATGTACCGTATTCCTCCAGATACATGATATTACCAGTGCCCGATGTTGGCAGTGCATAGTGTTCGGAGTTATCGCCGCGATTGAAACCAGCCTGAAATGGATCTGATCGACATACGGTGCTGTCATACATATATCATCCTTAGGACGTGGCGGATGTCAAAGTCTCAGAATGGAAATTGGTGTCTAGGGGATTTTCAGCTTTCTAACCCGTCACGCGAAAGATCCTATATCCGTGCAACGCGCTAGTGAATGACTGCACGAAGGTCTTCGGACCACTGAAAAGGCTTGTTTGACCGTCATCCACAGCGATTCCATTGGAAATCTCGTGTAAGCCTTCCTATAACCTCGGAAAACTCGCTTTGATGTATCCTGATGAACTAATTGCCCACACAGCCAAACAGAACGCTGATCGCCCATTCGCCATGTCTTATTCAAGAAGAGATTTAGGACTAGATAGTTTGGAACGATGAAAAAAGTTCGCAAATCGAATCTTAAAGACTCCGTTTCCGCTCCGTTAAACGTCATGTTAACGGATTATGTAACCAGATACATACAGATGAATATAGCGAAATTAGTCTGCTCAAAACTGTTTCAGTTGAATTTACAAAAAAGCAAATAGTAAGCACGGCAGGGAGATCACTCTACCACGTCTTGCCGTGATTTCACGATCCACAAGCGTTACACTCAACTCATTAATTCCTTAGTGAGAACGTTTAGGCAATTTATAATTGTATGGGGGGGGGGACAAAAAAAAGATAGTTTCCCATTCGCACTTCAGCCCTTTTCTTCGCGAGTATCCGCCTTGAGAAACTTCTTATAAAAGGATAAAAAAGGATAAAGCATTTGCCGTTGATCAATCCCTTTTTGGGATGCGGCACGCATTCTACTTCCATTTGTACATTCGTAGTGGCGTTTGAATGCGATGTGGCCTATACAATGACTTGCGGGGGCCAGCCGATGTACAAGTCAGTGTTTTTATCCTCCCAGACAAGTCTGGTACCAATTAACCGACCCCGGAGGGATGGAAGGCTTGGTTGGCCCGGGCGACTCACGACCCAGGATTTGATCCCCGGACCGCTCGCGTGGTAAGCGCCACTTGTCACTACACCACTTCCGCCAGTTCCTCAGCAAAGTATTCCTAAATGTCCCTCTATAAGTACACGCAGGCCCTCCTTCACTGCCCTCACCGTCTTCAGAATATGACGTCATCTGTCACCGTCGTCAAGCTCAAGGAGGCCTACCGTAACTGCTTCAGCCTGAAGCTCTTACATAATTTCGTGAATCGATTCAATGTTGGATAGTTTCCTAGAGACATTAGCTCCCACTATGCAAATCCCCTCGAAACTAGCTTTCCAGTAAGGTCGTTATGGTACACGATCCTTCGAGACCCCATTGAGCTCGACCAGTGCACCATGTTTCCAGGGCAAATTCTTCTGATGCCGTCCACGTAGGTGGCCACTATGAAGATTTTCTTATAGAATGGAATGCACTCTTTAATAATAAGTTGGAACCGTTCGGTCTGAGTTGAGTAAAATGTGCTTAAATCCATCTGGAAGTGGAGACAAAATTTTTTTTGCCCCCCCCCCCCTGTATATTTGCGTCTAGCGTTCAAAAGCACATCTAGGCGTATGCATTGCTTCTCGGATGGCCATGGCGACCTAGGGTCTTTTCCTTTGCAGCAAGCAGGAACACAGTTAGGACTGGAAGAGCGCCCGGAGGTGCTTTACGCAGTAAAATTCCTTTGATGCTTGCAGTTCGAGCTTTGTTCTGGAAAACTCCAATAGTAGCTGAAATTATCCTCAAAAGTTTTAGGCAAGGAACTCGTAAACCGACTGTTTCCTTAAACTTTACAGACGCTCTCATCAGAGGAAAATAATCCAAAAAGAGCAGCTCGTTTCCAGCTGAGATTCAAAGCGCGAGAGACGAGGTTTGAGCATAGGAAGGCAACAGTCATAAAAAAGATCGAGCACTGAAAAAACAAGTAAGAAGCAAAACCTGAAGAAGCCATGGAAAAAAGCGCTTCGATGGCAAGACTATACAATGCGGGCAAAAAATCTTAATGGGATTGGAAAAGCACCAGTTCAGAAGGTAGACAAATGAAAGGCAATAAATTTAATCGAAATTTGAGGAACTGCTCTTTTTAGAGGCAACCTCGAACTACGAGGGAATTACAACGTCTACCGGATGCTAGATTCCATTAAATTCCCTGTACTCATAACAAGTGGAGGAACCGATTTCCGTGCCTGAACATTCTGCTAGAATGTGATGGTTTGACCAGTTTTCGGAAGTAAAATCATAAGAGGACTATGATTGCCAGATTCGTATCGTTACAGAGGTCGACTGTGTTCTAAAAAAAACTCACTCTCTGGAATACTCTATGAACCTTTCCAGGACTTTTAAGTCTTTCTGG